CTGACTGCGGAGCTGCAGGCTGTACACACGCCAATGCCATTTACGTTTGGGTCCAGTCGGGTTTGAAAATAAATGCCGTCGTGTCGGACTCGGGTCTAATTTCATCGGGTCTGTCTCGGGTCGGGTTTTTCTTTAAAAATTTTTTTTTATTTATGCACGTCGGGTTCGGGTAAGAAGTGATTCGGGTCGGGTACAGATTTTAGGACCTGAGAAGACCTCTACCAACTTGTACTTATACGTAGAAATGCGTGTAACTATAAGCACACCTCTGAGCATGCTTACGCAGAGAATCTAGTGGTAGAATAGCGACACTACACACAAAAAGCATTTAAGAGTGTCACAGTATGCATTAAAGGGGTCATAGGATGCTACATGCACGTTTACAAGTTGTTTGAACTGAAATGTGTGTTGGCAGTGTGTACACAACCACCCTATAATGATAAAAATCCACCCAGTGGTTTAAAAAAAAAATCTGGTTAAATGTTTTCCCCTTTCTCAAATTGAGCCGATCTCAGATGAATGGCTGTGTGATGTCACACAGACAGGCCCCTCCCACGATAGTTTGATTGACAGTAGCGTCTCAGCACAGACAGGACTGGTGTCTTACCTTAGACCTGCTCTGAGTGAGCTGTCATCAGTCTGCCATTGTTTCAACACTGGAGCAGGAGTAGACAAGAATGACTCCTAAGCGATTGAGGTGCTCTGTTGTTGGATGTAATAATGAACATAGCAGTCGTCGTTTACTCCCGACATCTGAGCCGCTGAACTCACAGTGGATTAGATTGTTTTTGAAGGGAATGCTCCCCGATCTACACAAATGCATCTATGTTCGCGTGAATCATTCATGATCCAGCCTCATCTACAGAAGAAGTGAGTATGTTTTGTAATGAATCTTTGCAAATCGCCTTTCCTAATAATGTGCTAATTAGCAAGTTTCACGATGAATGCGGCTAAAGTAAACCGTCTCTCTGAGAGCAGCTCGGAAGAGAGGGGCGGGGTCAGCAGAGCTCATTAACATTTAAAGGAAAATGCTACAAAAACGGCTTGATTTGAAAAGAGCTGTTTTTTGACAGGGTGAAAATTTGTTTTTTTACACTACCATTGAGAAATTTTAACCAAACTGTTAGACTTTTCATTAAGACCCTAAAGAATCATATCAACTTGTGGAAAATGGGCAACCTATGGCCCATTTCAGCACAGACAGGACAGGGCAATCCACATATGTCCTGTGTTTCCTTTAATTATAAAACACTCAATTTATCATTTGTCTAGTTTTAAACAGACAATTTAGGTAATTGGTGTCAAACCCTATAAAAGACAGCTGTGACAAATGTTTGTCTCAATGCAATGGCTTATCTTGCGTTTTTTTGGAAGACTTGGCAAACAATGCGCTCTGCAGAGAATGCGTTTTCAAAGACCGCGCTGAGAGTGAGAGCACAGAATGGCTTCTCAGTCGGTACCGCTTTCTTTGCCATGATTTTGGCGAGGACACATACATTCACGTGATTTATAAAGGGAGGTGTTGTCACCATATATGGTTTATTGGAGGCGTTTCCGAATGCAAATGACCGTGAACGTGAATGAGCATGTTACTTATGCACATGTGGGATTTATCAACAATGATTGCTTACTCATGTGCGTAAGAACTGCGTGCGCACGTTTGATAAATACAGATTTTCTTGTACTTGGGCACATTCTAAATTTCATTCGTAGGACAAAAAAATAGAACCTTTTCTACACACTGTTAATAAATGAGGGCCCAGATGTTTTAAGTGCTGATTGTTATTCAGGATTCCTCAATTTGATTCCATGACTTTTCTAGTCTTTCACGATTTACTGGATAAGAATTTTTTTCTTTGAAATCGCGTGAATCATTCATGATCCAGCCTCATCTACAGAAGAAGTGAGTATGTTTTGTAATGAATCTTTGCAAATCGCCTTTCCTAATAATGTGCTAATTAGCAAGTTTCACAATGAATGCGGCTAAAGTAAACCGTCTCTCTGAGAGCAGCTCGGAAGAGAGGGGCGGGGTCAGCAGAGCTCATTAACATTTAAAGGAAAATGCTACAAAAACGGCTTGATTTGAAAAGAGCTGTTTTTTGACAGGGTGAAAATTTGTTTTTTTACACTACCATTGAGAAATTTTAACCAAACTGTTAGACTTTTCATTAAGACCCTAAAGAATCATATCAACTTGTGGAAAATGGGCAACCTATGGCCCATTTCAGCACAGACAGGACAGGGCAATCCACATATGTCCTGTGTTTCCTTTAATTATAAAACACTCAATTTATCATTTGTCTAGTTTTAAACAGACAATTTAGGTAATTGGTGTCAAACCCTATAAAAGACAGCTGTGACAAATGTTTGTCTCAATGCAATGGCTTATCTTGCGTTTTTTTGGAAGACTTGGCAAACAATGCGCTCTGCAGAGAATGCGTTTTCAAAGACCGCGCTGAGAGTGAGAGCACAGAATGGCTTCTCAGTCGGTACCGCTTTCTTTGCCATGATTTTGGCGAGGACACATACATTCACGTGATTTATAAAGGGAGGTGTTGTCACCATATATGGTTTATTGGAGGCGTTTCCGAATGCAAATGACCGTGAACGTGAATGAGCATGTTACTTATGCACATGTGGGATTTATCAACAATGATTGCTTACTCATGTGCGTAAGAACTGCGTGCGCACGTTTGATAAATACAGATTTTCTTGTACTTGGGCACATTCTAAATTTCATTCGTAGGACAAAAAAATAGAACCTTTTCTACACACTGTTAATAAATGAGGGCCCAGATGTTTTAAGTGCTGATTGTTATTCAGGATTCCTCAATTTGATTCCATGACTTTTCTAGTCTTTCACGATTTACTGGATAAGAATTTTTTTTTTTGAAATCACCGGTGATTTTTTTTTTTTTTTAGGGTTAGTATATTCTATTATAGTTATTCCTTAAATTGGCTTTTATTTTTTTTCTTTCAGTTTATTTTGGCGAGGACACATACATTCACGTGATTTATAAAGGGAGGTGTTGTCACCATATATGGTTTATTGGAGGCGTTTCCGAATGCAAATGACCGTGAACGTGAATGAGCATGTTACTTATGCACATGTGGGATTTATCAACAATGATTGCTTACTCATGTGCGTAAGAACTGCGTGCGCACGTTTGATAAATACAGATTTTCTTGTACTTGGGCACATTCTAAATTTCATTCGTAGGACAAAAAAATAGAACCTTTTCTACACACTGTTAATAAATGAGGGCCCAGATGTTTTAAGTGCTGATTGTTATTCAGGATTCCTCAATTTGATTCCATGACTTTTCTAGTCTTTCACGATTTACTGGATAAGAATTTTTTTCTTTGAAATCACCGGTGATTTTTTTTTTTTTTAGTGTTAGTATATTCTATTATAGTTATTCCTTAAATTGGCTTTTATTTTTTTACTTTCAGTTTTCATTTTAATTTGTAGTTATTTTGTGCATTTGTCATTCTTATTCGTTTATTATATTACTATTTACATTTATTTATTTTTAATTTATAGTTTTAGTTCAGTTTTAGTAATTTATTTTCAGTTTGTAATTTTAGTGCTTACACTTGTTGTTGCTGAAGCCAGCCAGTTTAAGTTTTCATTTAAGCTTTATTTCTATTAACAACATTTTCTATAGTTTGTCATCTTGAGGCTCCCTAGGAAGTCTGCTTAGTCGGCCCCCCGTTTGAAAACCACTGCCTTAAATGGAGGTGGTAACTGTTGTTTGGTTGAGTTACATTTCCCACAATCATGTGCTGATCTCATCCTTCACTTTTATTTTACATCCGTTTTCTCTTTTTACAGAGTTTTTTGATGTTTTGGCCTTGTGTACCAGTGAATCAAGAGTCACAACAAGCAACTACACACACACACACACACACGCATACATCCCGCAGTATCAGCCTTGTTCTTGGCAGTACATAGTAAGCCCTCTGTTGGTGTTCAGCGGCCAGCCCAGCATAAAAAGAGGAGAGGGCATGATGGGCCACAGCAGCAGGAATGTACTGAATGTGACCAACTAACAAGCAAGCTCTTGATAAAGTAGCATGGCGTGCAAAAGCAGACACGCACACTTTTGCCTTCACTTCACATGATTGTTTACAGAAGTGTGTGTGTGGATGAGCTGTTGTCAGGTAGTTGAGAGCAGTGGTCATTAGTTTCCAATTTGGCTCGTTTAAAGTAACATGCAAATACAAGTAGTTTTGCTAATTTGAATATCATTGGCCTTCTCAATTTTTTGGCAAGCTGTCATTTGCAGTTGCAGCATAGGATTGAGTGCATAACCTTGTTTGTTGTAAATCTTTCAATGCTCCGATATTTTTCACCATGCAATGTCTAGTAGCACTTGACCCATCTGTGTTTTTCATTGTCACCAGCCACACTGATTTCTACAAATCAGTCAGATATAATGTTATGCCAAAAAAAGTCAGATACCACCAGTTGGCCTGTAATAACCAATAAATGGTGACATGAGCTCTTAAAAGGGAAGCCCTCTTCAAGAGTGAGTGCTCTTAACAAGATAACCATCCAAAAATGAATATTGACTAATAATTTATACACCCTCATGTTGTTTCACACCTGTATGACTTTCTTTCATCTATGGAACATAAAAAGATAAATTGAGAAAAGCATCATTGTTTTTTTTGTCTATAAAATGGAAGTCAGGGGTCACTAAAAATGGTATCATCATCTTTTGTGTTGCGCAGAAGAAAGCAAGCCATGTAGGTTTGGGATAATGAGTGAGTAAATAAACAATGACAGTTGTCATTTTTGGGTGAACTATCCCTTTAAAGCTTTTTATTTTTGCCATAATCTATCGCTGTTGCTAAAATAGGCATAAACAATTAAATATCCAATATTAGGAGATAGTAACCAATATGGGGCCTATCTATATTGTTCCTCCCTTGATGCATTTGTCTGGCCAGTATATAACTGTGTTTTATCTAATTCTTACTCTTTTACCTTTCAGCCTTTCTTCAGATTGCACAATCTGCGAAAGCTGGGCCTCAGCGACAATGAGATTCAAAAATTGCCGCCCGACGTTGCCAACTTCACACAGCTGGTGGAGCTAGACATCTCTAGAAATGGTGTGTAAAACTCTTTCTTAAATGTGCACTGCTTCTGAAAAATAAAGCTGCTTTTAAACTGCACCCATCTAGAGATATTTGCACACACATCCTGTGTACCACTTGAAAGTTTCTTTACACAGTGCTCTGGAATGTTTTCTTTGAGCCATGTCTATTTAAGAAGTGTACATCCATTTCAACGGCCAATTGTCTTCTCATGTGCCTCGCACAGCCCGAGGGACATTTACTGTTAGTCTCAGGATGGATCGTGGGAATGTTGGAACATGTTGTATCTGTATTTAAACTACGCAGTGTTATATTCTGCAACTCCGCAAATGAAGTGACTCTCACTTGGTCCCTAACATGTGCCTCGGATCCCATATAAGATACACACACACACTTACAGACAACTCACTACAGTCAAATCACCCTCTCCTCCCATTCCTCCAGGCCATCTGGTAGCCATTATTAAGAAGCCTGAAAAAGTGCTTAGTTTGTCGTGACACTCCTTCAGTATATCTTGCTGACTGTGCCTTTCTCTCTCAGATATTTCTGAGATTCCCGAAAACATAAAATTCTGTCAGGCCTTGGAGATTGCAGACTTCAGCGGAAACCCCTTGTCCAGGTTAGTGTGTTGGAAGAACCTCCAAATCCCCCATACCAAATGACACTTTCTTGATTATGAAAGGTGTAGAAAGGTTGGGACGAGAGAAGAAAGTCTGACACTAAAAAGAGTTTACAAATGATCATATGTTCTGTTAAAATGCTGTAATGATATTTTTCTAGCAGGTGAGAATGTAACAGACACTTTGTTTGGGTCAGTCAGTGCACACAGCTATTAGAGGATGTCAACTTAATTCATCACACAAGTGCTTCCCACTCCTTATTTATATTAGAGCAGGAAGATGGGCGCTGCTGTTAGCAGTAACCGCTTTCACAGACCAAACCTTTTCCATTGTGCGTCTCATTTTCCTTTTGTCTCTGTCGGTCTCAGGTTGCCTGATGGCTTCACACAGCTCAGAGGACTGGCTCACCTATCACTCAATGACGTGTCACTGCAGTCTTTACCCAATGACATTGGAAAGTAAGTCGATATGAAGACGTTCTATTCCAAGTTTTTTTTTTTTTTTT